CTAAGGTGGATGCTTAGGTTTTGGTCTTTTTCTTAAGGTTTGGATTAAAGAAGTATATAGGTATAAAATTCTAGTTAGAGTTAGGATTTTAACGTGAGGGGGGGGGGGTAATTCCCCCGGGGGGGTGTAATTGACAGGGGGGTAATTGACAGGGGGGTAATTGCTCCGGGGGGTAAATACGGGGGAAATGCCCGGGGGAAATATCCAGGGGGGTAATGTCCTGTAGCCGGTAGCTACATGTAGCTGTAGGGTAGTTACTTCTAGTTGTATGGTAGCTATGGTAGCTACATGTAGTTGTGTGGTAGGTACATGTAGTTGTATGGTAGCTAAATGTAGCTCTGTGGTACTAGCTATATGTAGCTGTATGGTAGCTACCACACGACTACATGTAGTTGTACGATCATCGAAATGGCCAAGCCAAATTACCATCTATAAGCGAATAGTTCTAGACGAATCCCTCTTCAGAACAGAATAAATATAATTTATATAGAAAATATATAATTTTACCAGTGCGTGCACTCACGTAAATTTTAGTCCGCCGCCCAAAAATTTCAAGTGCAGCCCCCCACCCCCACCCCCCACCCCCACCCACCTTTTTAACTCGGAGACAAAATCTGGATGAAGTACTCATTACCATCTACAGAATAGTTCTAGTACCTATTCACCGAAACAGCCCGAAGCGCCGACATCCGCAGGCCAGTAAATCAGCAAGAACGTGACGTGAAAAGAAACAGATTCACGTATCGCATAAAATTACGGTAAACAGGGCCGGCCCACTTGTTACGCATTCTGATAAAAATAGATTAAAACAATTATCTCCCCTGCCATTAAACTGTGACTTTGTTAGGGTGTAGCCGGTGTCAAGGGAGGTAAGTGTATCTTCTTTAAGATGCAGGTCTTGACCGCTGGAACCTTTCAAAACATTGAATAGATTACATTTTTTTTAATGGCATCGGGCTGATAAAAATGCCAGTAGATTTATTTAAGGCTTGGTCAAATTTGTGTTGAAATTTTAGAATTGTTACTCGATGTCTAGCGGGTTTTGAAAAGTTAGATTTTAATTTTTTTTATTTTATTTCAGGTAACATAAAAAATGTTTTTGTACTAATTTCAAAAATTAAATGCGCATGATTTAACTAATACGTTTAGATCTAAGAATTTAGATTTGTTTCCAACCAGCGCTCTGTGTTTCAGTTTGTTTTGAGTACTATCTGACATAAATTCTGTGAGTTAACATCAGCCAATGCACGCCGGCTTCCTATCTCAACATCTGCGCCAACAGTTTATTATTTACATTTCGATCTCCCCCACCTCCCCCTCCCCCTCTCTACCAATTTCTGTAAGGTATAGAATGAGGTGATGGTGTGTTTATTGTGTGGTCCTGTTATTGCATTCTACAATACCGTTTGGAGAAAAAAAAATTACCAGCATTGTGAAGTGGTATCTGATAAAAGGAATATTCCATCATGGGGTGCTATAGTAGATAGATCCGAGAGCCCTACTACCTCTACCCTACCCCAATATCCCAGGTGCTAAAAGTCCTACTACCCTACCCCAATATCCCAGGTGCTAAAAGCCCTACTACCTCTACCCTACCCCAATATCCCAGGTGCTAAAAGCCCTACTACCCTATCCCAATATCCCAGGTGCTAAAAGCCCTACTACCTCTACCCTACCCCAATATCCCAGGTGCTAAAAGCCCTACTACCTCTACCCTTTCCCAATATACCAGGTGCTAAAAGCCCTACTACCTCTACCCTACCCCAAAATCCCAGGTGCTAAAAGCCCTACTACCCTACCCCAATATCCCAGGTGCTAAAAGCCCTACTACCTCTACCCTTTCCCAATATACCAGGTGCTAAAAGCCCTACTACCTCTACCCTACCCCAATATCCCAGGTGCTAAAAGCCCTACTACCCTACCCCAAAATCCCAGGTGCTAAAAGCCCTACTACCCTAGTCTCAACACCATCTGGCGAGCTATTTTGATTCTGTTGATTTTTCCATTTTATTTATTTACCAGAATCTGAAAAACAGCCGACTGGCGATAAGGAGATGGCCGAGGAAAAACCTATTACACCCAGTCCTGTCCCGATGTTTTTAAACCCTAACCCTTACATGAACCGATCTATTTATTCTGAGGGTTAGCGAAACATTTGCCCAAATTTTCAAATAGAAAATATGTCATTCCGGGTTGTGAAATTCCCCGTCTCAGACATGTGTACAAAATACCTGACTTTTTTTAAAAAAATAAAAGAATTTCAAGGTGTTCACTTTAAATATATTTCCTGCAAATTTCTTGCTTCTTTAAGCCTCAATTTTTGTGTCCATGCCACTTAGCGATTTTTTTTTAAATCTCTAAAAATATATTTTACGGAATTTTCGCAATTTCACGTGATTTTATTTTTCGACTTTCTTATTTAAACGCGTTAAGTAGTAAGTTTATTTATTTAGTGTAAATGGTTGAAAACGTTTGTCGAAATAATGCCAGTGAAAATGGATACCATATCACAAAGAACAAAAAAATAGCGCACCAAATAAAGGTGAATGGAAACGGGGTTAAAGCAAAAATTTTGTGCTATTTTATTATATTACTGTATATTATTTAAAATATTCTTGAGGTTAAATAAGCATTATTTTATTACTGTTATTTGATTTGTATTAATTTAGTAATACATTTATAGAAACGTGTATAATAATAAACTTTAAATACGCTTTGAAAAGAAGAAAATAAAATTCTTTTCTTTAATATAATAATCTACCACTATTTACTGTATAACTAGAATATATATATATATATATATATATATATATATATATATATATATATATATATATATATATATATATATATATATATATTTGTTTTAATTTTTTTGTATTGAGAAAACCAAATGACTAAAACAATGCTTACAAAGTGAATGCAAAGAATCGGAATGAAATACTCGACACGATTTGACATACATATTATATACATACACACACATACATAGATATAAATTTATCTATAATTTTTTTCAAATTTATTTATTGTTTTGTTTGTTTGTGCTTTTGCTAGTTATTGGTTTGTTTGTTTGCACCGAATAGTCTCCCTCCGTGCCTAAAGCAATACTTGACTTTCTTATGTTGTTAACATTCAAGGAGCAATGCTTTTCGTAATTATAAAAAAAAATATTTTTGTTTAAGTGTCACCCCCGCCATCACTGTTAGTAATCATCTTCCAGTCTGTGCGGTACATTGATCACGTTTTCCTCACACCCCTCCCAGAGGCGTAGCGACCCCTCCCGGCGTCCGAAGACAAACTTTCAATTTATGCACCCCCCCCCCCCATATATATATATATTACATTTATAATTCAAAATAGCAGCTAAAATGAGCTTATTTTGGCGCCCCTAGAGTCGGCACCCGGGGACGTATGTACCCACCCCCCCCCCCCCCCCCGACGCTACGCCTCTGCCCCCCCCCCCCTCCCCCACCACCATCAGTATCCCATGCCTCATTTATTTTCATCGCATTATTAACGAGTAACCACCTACTTGTTTTTATATTTGTGTTTTATCATTCGTGTCGTATAACTGAGGATGTGGACTACTCACGTCAAGGGTATAGCGGCATAATTTCAAGTTTTATAGCTGTTGCAGCAAGATTGATAAATGTCGAGTACGTTATTATAAGCAACAGAGGGTTATTATGCTTTAAAATGCGTATAAATTTAATTTGGCGGTGTTTCGTTTTTCTCGATATGCAACTTCACAGACAGATGGTATATTTGTTATAGATCGTGTATTAAACTTTGGCGTTTAAAAACAAAAACAAATATGATGTAGTTAACACTGTGAATGTCCCTAATGGCCGACTGAACCGAATGCCAATTGCTTTGATGGTCAGTATCCCGAACGGTCTAATGCACCCATTCGCGAGAAGTATTTCGTTGGTGTTTTATTCTTAACGTAATATCTATTTGGTTTTCAATTACTAATTAATGAAAAAATGTATAGATCTAAACCTTTTTTTTTGTCAGTCAAATAAAATTTTGGGAGTCAGCCTGAATCAGACATCTAATGGGGGGAGGGGTGGGGGGGAAGGGAAGTTTACTGTAGTTGGACATCGTTTAAACTTATTAAAGTTCCAGATTAATTTCACGTTACACATAATTGTTGTTTTTTTTTTAAATCTTAATTAGAACATATTTTCATAAAATTGATATCAACGAAGTAGTTCCAAAGTAACTAGGTATTTACGAAAAAATCAGCGTGAGTTGTATAATGATAGCTGTATGATGAGTTGCCCCAGTGACCTATTAAACCTATGACCTAACCCACAAATGACCTACAAGACCTCTGTAACCCCGTGACATTCAAGACACTTGACCTAACACTACAGTGACCTACAATTCTGATTACCGAATCCACTAAAGACCTATCAGACCTACTACATAACGTCCTTACAGAGGTCTATAAGACATATTAAACCCCCAAAGTGACCTACAAGGGCTTTGACCTAAACCCCTACTTCGTGACCTATGAAATTCCTACCTCTTTTCATCCATCCAGTGACCTACAAGACATAACCCCTCCTACCCAATGACCTACATGAGTTATGATCTAACCCCCGTAGCCCATTACATATAAAACCTATGATACAACCAGTGACCTACACAAAGTATGACATTATTACCCCTTCACCCATCAAGAGACCTATATAACCTTTGACCTAGTACCCTACTAGGAGACCTACAGGATAAATGACCTAAACCCCGTAGTTAAGGGCCTAAATGACTTATGACCTAACCCCCTACCCAGTGACCTACATAATCTATAACCTAACCCCCTACCCCGTAACCCACATGACCTATGACCCTACCCTACCCAATGACCTATGTGACTTACGACCTTACCACCCCTTACCCAGTGACCTACATGACCTATGACCTTACCACCCCTTACCCAGTGACCCACATGACCTATGACCTTACCCTACCCAATGACCTACAGGACCTACCTATGAGGGTCTTGACCTGCTGCTCGTCTATCCACAGGGACAGCCGGCTCTTGGGGGCGCGCCTGGCCATCACGGGAGTCAGCGAGACGCACATCAGGAAGAAAACACACAGGGACATGGGCGTCGAGGGGCGTCGCATGACGCTGTCACATCGATGGGGACACCTCTTGAGCGCGACCCATAGCACCAGCGTCATAAAAGTGGCCGCGGCGACGACCAGGGCCTGAGTCCCGCGCGATTTCGAACTCGCGACCTTGGACAGTCGGTGTAAGGGACCTATGCTGGTGCGGTTTTGACTGCTGATTTTTTTTTATTTTTTCCTCTTGAAAATCCACAATTTTTTTTTATTTAGACTGCGGGATGTTGTTTTTTAAGTCAAGTCAAAGCTGTGTCGTGACGAGGTGAGGGTTAATCGAGATAGTGCTTCCATCTTGGAGAGAGGAGATGCATGTTACAGATGCGGCACAAGGGAAATCACCACCATCGTGTTTTGTTTGTTTTTGTTTTTTTGGAAATTCCCTGTTATAAAAATAGACGTAGTCAACTGGAAGGTCTTTTGCTTTAGTTTAGCTGTTAAATTTTTTTATACCTTGTTGAGTTGGGTTATGGCTATGTTAAGCAGATTGTGGTTATTTAAATCCAGCGCAGGTTTTGAATTTGTATCCGGGGTTGGCTTTACTTGTGGTTGTTGTGGTTGGATAATTGTAGCAGCTATTAATAGCCAGCTATGGTGGCTTTTTTACTATCCTGCTACCTGTAGCTGTTTAGGGTATTGACTGGTTGTAGATGATTATAACTGATATCCTTTCAGCTTTTGTAATCCTGTTTTGTTTGATATACACTTTTTAAATCCTGTGGGAAAAAAATAAAAATTATAATCAACAGTTATTCTAATACTTCAAGATGTAATGGAACTCGTGAAAGTAACATTAAAAAGTCCGTATCAGTGATCAATTAGGAAACAATATTTCTACTCAGTTTGGTTGCCATCAGAAAACGATCGTGTCGTGATGGCCTAAATTATAAGACAACAGTGTTAACACTAATGGACATCAACAACTTAACAAAATATATTGTATACTTATGCTGTAGGTTATTCCCCCCCACCCCCAAACCGACAATCAACTACTCCTTTGACGCGAATTTCATCTAGTAATTTCATTAATAAAGTATTTTAAAAATTCTATTGTTTTTTATCTCTTTTGAATATAAAGTGTTTCAAATACTTACTATGTGACCAAAATACAACTTTCCCGTAATCAAACTTTTCAATTTTCGCTAATTTACAAAAATAAATTATTTGTTTTTATTTAGAAGCTGGCTAATTTATCATTAAAATAGCTTAGAAAAACAATATTCTCTCGAAGATAATAGAATATATACGTGTTTTAAAACAAAAAAAAATACTTATAATATAATCCAACCAGAAGGAAAAATCAAATGCTTCTTTTTTTCACCTAATAAATAACACAACATGTTTCAAATAGCAGCCGCTAAGTATTATTTTTTGTTTTAACATTCTATTTTTATACACTAAATATCGGTTATTTTAAAAAGCGCAGGGATGAGGGTTGGGGGAAGGGGGGGGGGGGGGGGGAGTCTTATTGCTTTTGTTTATCTGACAATAAATCCCCTGTTTTCTTGTAGTTGATTGTAGCGACGTTAAGCATCTCCGGGGATAAAACAGGAATTCCTTACTGGGATATTTATAGCTGTTTAGATGGTGGTTTAACAGCAGTTATAGCTGTCTAGATAGTGGTTTAACAGCAGTTATAGCTGTCTAGATAGTGGTTTAACAGCAGTTATAGCTGTCTAGATAGTGGTTTAACAGCAGTTATAGCTGTCTAGATAGGGGGGGGGGTTAACAGGAGTTATAGCTGTCTAGATTGAAATTTAACATTAGTATATAGCTGTCTAGATGTAGGTTTAACAACACTGTATAGCTGTCTAGATATAGGATTGTAATCTTTGTAAAACTATCTAGCAAGATGTGTTAGGGGCTGGGGGAGGATTTGATAGTTCAAACAGCTAGTCCTGGCTATATACATCCCCATACAATCAACTTGCCACATATCAGATGGTATAGAAAACTTCAGTGCCCGTCTATTATGGTATATGGATGGGAGAGGGGTTTAGTCTAGAACCAGTGCTACGGTATATGAATGTACACAAATACCAAGTTTACTGTATATGATAGTACACAAATACCAAGTTTCCTGTATAGGATAGTACACAAATACCAAGTTTCCTGTATATGATAGTACACAAATACCAAGCTTCATACAGCGAGTTCTCTTGTTATATCAAGTTTTTTTCCTTATTCTAAAGTGCCTGCCTTTAAAATTAGGTTTTGAAAGCTTATTTAAAGACATAGTTAATAAGGTATGCAACAAAGCACACACAAGAGTTGAGTTGTGTAACAAATCACACACGAATGTGATGTGTTGTATAACAAATCACACACGAATGTGAGGTGTTGTGTAACAAATCATACACACATGTGAGGTGCTGTTATATAACAAAGCACACACTAATGTGTACATCTGTCTAGATAGACGGTGCGGTAGGCGCTAGAACCAATATCCCATGTTGAGTCCTGTAGATCCTGATATTACCACTCACCGCTAAAGGTATCTCTAATGTTGCCTGTAACTGGTCGCAGTACTTTAAATACAATTTTTTTTTCGCTGATGCTAGGCGCGGTAGAGCGATAGACTGTTAACCCGAAAGTCTCGAGTTCGAATCCGGGTTCAAAATCAATAAATCATGCATGAGCTTTAATGGGCACCCAACCCATGTCAAGGAAAGCGAAGGCGGCTGGGCTTAGTGCTAGCCATACTATTCCTTCATATGCCGAGGTCACAGAAACAGCTGAACTCTACTTCAACAGCCTCAGGGTTCGAAAACGGAACTACACTACTACTTACATTTATGGCTTAATTATGCTTTTAAAACAATTTATTAAGCTTTTCTTTACCTATCCCATTTGAATTAATAAGTAAGATAATTAATAAATCAGAAACACCATTAGACTATACGCTACTAATTTCCGTTAATATTTACCATCAAATTATTTTCTTTCCTATAAAATTCTTAAACGTTAGGTTTACATCAGGTAAATCAGTTTTATGTCAAAGAGAAAGAGAGGGGGAGGAGTTGCCTACATTTTAGATAACGCTTTGATTAATTACAGCGTATCTTCGCTTAGCGCTGTGTGGTCGTGCTAATGGGTGTGGTTAGCGTTGTGTGGCCGTGCTCATGTGTGTGGCTAGCGTTGTGTGGTCGTGCTAATGTGTGTGGCTAGCGTTGTGTGGCCGTGCTAATGTGTGTGGCTAGCGTTGTGTGGTCGTGCTAATGTGTGTGGCTAGCGTTGTGTGGCCGTGCTAATGTGTTTGGCTAGCGTTGTGTGGCCGTGCTAATGTGTTTGGCTAGAGTTCTGTGATCGTGCTGATTTTATCCTTTTGCTCCCTTCACTTTCATTTTGTCCTGTACCGGCTCTTGCATTCTTACAAGCCATACATGTTATCTTCTATTAAGTATTTTGTAGCCTGTGTTAAATAAAAACTGTCTTGATGAACGAGGTGGCGTATTTAGATGAGCCGGGGTGTCCGCCCCGATATGCTTTTTATTTTTCGGTAAACATTGGAGACGTGTATCTTTCTAGCACAGTGAGGTGTGTAGCGACACACGTTGCTGTGAGTATGCGCGTGACTTGTGGGAGGAGCGGTCTGCGGAGATAATGTGTGTGAGTGTGTGTGTCTTTTACCAAATGCAAACAAGGGACGGCAAAGGCTGCCAGCGCTTAATTAAGTTAACACAAAAAATCTGACAGCTCTCGCGAGCTAGTCAAGTTTTAAAAAAAAAACACCCGGGGAAATAAACAGCTGATTTGGGGGCGTTTTTTGTGTGAGTACATTCTGGTGGTAATTTTTTAAACATTTTTGTGCTCACATTAGCAGCATGATGGTGGGTATTGTGAGCTAATGGTGGGTATTGTGAGCTAATGGTGGGTATTGTGAGCTAATGGTGGGTATTGTGAGCTAATGTCTAATGGTGGGTATTGTGAGCTAATGGTGGGTATTGTGAGCTAATGGTGGGTATTGTGAGCTAATGGTGGGTATTGTGAGCTAATGGTGGGTATTGTGAGCTAATGGTGGGTATTGTGAGCTAATGGTGGGTATTGTGAGCTAATGTCTAATGGTGGGTATTGTGAGCTAATGGTGGGTATTGTGAGCTAATAGTGGGTATTGTGAGCTAATGTCTAATGGTGGGTATTGTGAGCTAATGGTGGGTATTGTGAGCTAATGTCTAATGGTGGGTATTGTGAGCTAATGGTGGGTATTGTGAGCTAATGGTGGGTATTGTGAGCTAATGGTGGGTATTGTGAGCTAATGGTGGGTATTGTGAGCTAATGTCTATTGGTGGATATTGTGAGCTAATGGTGGGTATTGTGAGCTAATGGTGGGTATTGTGAGCTAATGTCTAATGGTGGATATTGTGAGCTAATGGTGGGTATTGTGAGCTAATGGTGGGTATTGTGAGCTAATGGTGGGTATTGTGAGCTAATGTCTAATGGTGGGTATTGTGAGCTAATGGTGGGTATTGTGAGCTAATGGTGGTATTGTGAGCTAATGTCTAATGGTGGGTATTGTGAGCTAATGTCTAATGGTGGGTATTGTGAGCTAATGTCTAATGGTGGGTATTGTGAGCTAATGTCTAATGGTGGGTATTGTGAGCTAATGGTGGGTATTGTGAGCTAATGGTGGGTATTGTGAGCTAATGTCTAATGGTGGGTATTGTGAGCTAATGTCTGATGGTGGGTATTGTGAGCTAATGTCTAATGGTGGGTATTGTGAGCCAATGTCTAATGGTGGGTATTGTGAGCTAATGTCTAATGGTGGGTATTGTGAGCTAATGGTGGGTATTGTGAGCTAAAGTGGGTATTGTGAGTTAATGGTGGGTATTGTGAGCTAATGGTGGGTATTGTGAGCTAAAGTGGGTGTTGTGAGCTAATGTCTAATGGTGGGTATTGTGAGCTAATGGTGGGTATTGTGAGCTAATGTCTAATGGTGGGTATTGTGAGCTAATGGTGGGTATTGTGAGCTAATGGTGGGTATTGTGAGCTAATGTCCAATGGTGGGTTTTGTGAGCTAATGTCTGATGGTGGGTATTGTGAGCTAATGTCTAATGGTGGGTATTGTGAGCTAATGTCTAATGTTGGGTATTGTGAGCTAATGGTGGGTATTGTGAGCTAAAGTGGTTGTTGTGAGCTAATGTCTAATGGTGGGTATTGTGAGCTAATGGTGGGTATTGTGAGCTAATGTCTAATGGTGGGTATTGTGAGCTAATGGTGGGTATTGTGAGCTAATGGTGGGTATTGTGAGCTAAAGTGGGTGTTGTGAGCTAATATCTAATGGTGGGTATTGTGAGCTAATGGTGGGTATTGTGAGCTAATGTCTAATGGTGGGTATTGTGAGCTAATGGTGGGTATTGTGAGCTAATGGTGGGTATTGTGAGCTAATGTCTAATGGTGGGTATTGTGAGCTAATGTCTGATGGTGGGTATTGTGAGCTAATGTCTAATGGTGGGTATTGTGAGCTAATAGTGGGTATTGTGAGCTAAAGTGGGTATTGTGAGTTAATGGTGGGTATTGTGAGCTAATGGTGGGTATTGTGAGCTAAAGTGGGTGTTGTGAGCTAATGTCTAATGGTGGGTATTGTGAGCTAATGGTGGGTATTGGGAGCTAATGTCTAAGGTGGGTATTGTGAGCTAATGGTGGGTATTGTGAGCTAATGTCTAAGGTGGGTATTGTGAGCTAATGGTGGGTATTGTGAGCTAAAGTGGTTGTTGTG